TATCTTTATGAGAGCAAAGCAGCTTTCCTCATGGATCTTTACTCCTCTTCCCACAGGCTTCTCTTGTTTAGTGTACCAGAATTGCAGGGAAAAAAGGAACACAATAATTTGTTAAGACCAATCTGGATCTTCATCTCAAAACTAGGATAGGATCAACTTTCACTGAGGCACTTGGAGGAGGATTGGATACCAGAACAAAGTCAGAGATCTGTCAGTAAGAAAAAACTGAGGGTGGGTATTGGGTAGGCATCCATCAGTGTCTACAACTCTGTTCTCTCTAGCCTTGCTACCACCCTTTAATTGAACATATGTTGGACCTTCTTATCTTCTCCTTCCTGTATCCTGGCTTAATTTCATATTTTAAATTTCTTAATCTCTCTGATGGTAGTCTGAGTTAATTCCTCAGATCTCTTTTACAGTTTACCATCTTTCTCTTTAGTGAAATTTGCTGTTTAACACATGCATTTAATTTATAATTTTGAAGACTAAAATATTAATTTCTGGAAGTTCTATTTGTTCCTTTTCCACAATTGCATATTATTTTTCATAATATCTTGTTCTTTATTGTTTCTACTTTTCCTTTCAAAGCTTTTAATTGTATTTATAGAACCCTATTATATATTTTTCTATTTCAGTTCTCAGAATGTTGATTTTCCTGTTTTTCACTTTCTTTAAGTTTTTTGTTTTCTTAGGGGGAGGTGTTTTGTGAGTGTGGAAGTCTACCCAGCCATTTTGTATTTACCTCTGCCAGCATTAATTTTTGTATGGATTTATGAGCTTGGATTTCTGTACCAGGTGAAATGTATAAATTGGAACATCCACAAGCATGGCACATGTCTCAATATTTGATTTCTCATAGAAAAAAAACTTGGTGCTCTACCCCGAGCTTAGATCAATGACTGTTTTTAGCATTTCCCTTTGCTGATAGGAATTTTCCTTACTCCTTTTCCAGGAGGAGGCAGCTTTTCTAAAATATACTGTTATGAAGGGTATTAATTTTAATTTTCTGCCTTGTGGGTCCCAATGCCATCTTCCTACATAAAAACCTCTAACCTAGGGCTCTTGAACTCGTTCTAAGACCCTTCTGGTCACAGGTGTGAGATTATAACTCTGGCTTTAAGTTTTCTCTGTTTCAGTTACCTATGGATTTCCCTTTTTTCAATTTTGGCTTTTTGGGGTCATATCTAATCTAGCATCTCTTTGCATTTAGAATAGCAAAGATGTTCACATCAGCTGAGTCTGTTATCCTGTTGCCAAAGAAGATTCTCATAATAAATGAAACACTATTTCTTGGGCAAAGCAATCGTACTTTATAAAGCACTTCCTAGTCATTCTCTCATTTGCCATTTTACTTATACTTTCAACTTGTTCATCTTCCTGATTGCATTCTGGGGAATTTCCTAGGACATGTCTTTATGTTTATACTTGAAAAGTGACTCCAGGCACAGGGTTCTTCTTCACCTTTCCCCTCTTCTGTAATTTGTATCTCCCTTCTCCCATAGTAACAAAACTCTTTTCCCATAAGTAAGTATGCTCAATTGCTTCACACTGAAGTGTAAGAGTTGTAATACCATTACTGGCATCTAACCTACTAAGTAAACTTTTGTTCTTTCTTTGAATATACATGCACGTGTATGGGGGTGTGGGTGTGTAGTTTGAATATATATATCATCAAGTGTATACAGTTGAAATATTGTGTTTAGAAGCTGCTTGATTTAATTCTTTTCGCTGAATGTTTTTGTTATCAATCTAATACATACTCTGCCATCAATTTTCAGTTTATTTTTGTATCCATTTTGATTTAGTATTTTTTTAGTATGTAACACATTTACATAGCTCAAATATCAAATTACAAAAACTTCAAGTTTTCCTTCCATCTCTCTCTTAATTTCTAATTTTTCTTACCTGTATTTCTTTTTGGGACAAATAACGATATGTATATTTGTGTGTGCATTTTCATTCTCATTTCAACTTCTTCTTTGTTTCCCATTTTTTAAAATAACTAATTGCCTCAACGAATAAAATAGTCCTGTACATCTGGTATTTCACATTGTGACCGTGTAGCTTTAGGAGGAATGCCTCAAAGTGAAATTGCTGCGACCGAGGGTGCATGTATGTACAGTTTTGTTAGACATTGTCAAACCCTCTCCACAGAGCTGTACCAGTTTTCATCCTCATTTGAAGTGGAGAAGAGCATGTTTCTCCATGGCCTTGACAGTGGAGAATGCTACCAAGCTTTTGAATTTTTGCAGGTGTGAAAGAAAGAAAAAGAAATAGCATCTGAAGACCATTTCTCTCACTTTGGGTGAAATTGAGCAGCTTTTCCTATACCACTGTCATGTCTTTTTCTGTGAACTCTTTATTCATGTCTTTTACCCATTTTTCTATTCTGATTTTTCACCCATTTTTCTCAGAATTCTTAAGGAATTCCTTATAAACGAGGATGATTAGTCCTTTATCTGTGAGATAAATTGTAAATATTTTCTCCCATTTTGTTCGTCTCATGGTTCAAAGTCTGTTTCTAAATCACTAATCAATTAACTGAGGAATAATATAGTTATGTGAAAGCTTTATATCAAGACACCAATTAATAATTTACTTATAAGACTCAACAAAATCCAGAACTTGCCAACTAAAGATTAAAAACCAGAAACAACCTTACAAAGACACAGATATAGTCGGCGTACCTGTAAAATATATTCATGGCACCAAGATGGAATAACTAAGAAATTGCATAACTGAATTAAAATTCAGAATATTTTAACAGCCTGAAAATATGGGCTAACATGCAGAAAGTAAAATTTGTAGAAATAATGTTTTGTGCTTAGGCTTAAAAACATTAATTCCATGTGTTCAAGATTGGGAGTATCTGCTGGGTTTTTACCACACACTTATAAGCTTAACAAGATGATATAATTGCTACAAGAAAATGTATTCCTAGAGTGAATATTGGAAGGAGATTATCTTTATCATGAAGACTGTCCTTTTGGGTTTGATACTGATGAGACCACAGCTAGAATGTTATGCTCAGTTTGGGGGACCACAAATCAGGAGAGTAACAGACATCTGTGAGCAAGTGCAACAGGGAGGCTGAGTTAGTGAAGGGTCTTGAACCACCAAGTGAAGAATGATCAGGAACTGGAGAATAATCCAGAGAAGGAAGTCAAGTGAAGACCATCACGTGGAAGAGGGACTCACATTACTCAGTGTTGCCTTAGAGAGCAGGCCTGGGATTGGTGGTTACAACCTGCTACATATGCAAGCTAACTGCAAGGAGAGCTTCCCAGCCAGCACCAAGGACTATTGTAGGGGGATGAACTGCTTTTCCACCTTCCTCTTCCCTGTGGCAAAGGTGCTAGGATGGAGATGGCAGGCGGATGTGAGCTATTCCATTGCTATGTGGAGGCGGTTTAGGGACCAGGGTTTTTGTTGTCTAGCTCACAGAAAGCAGTCTTTCCTTTCTTTCTGGTGTCTTCTGTTCATGGAGAACAAGAGCAGGTGGGGAAAGCGATATGTGGGAGTTTTTGGCTGACAAAAGTAGATGAAAAGTTTGGAAAAAACATTAGCCTATAGGATTTTATGTTAAAATGTGTCAACTTTGAGTTTTAGCCAAGATCCTGAGCCAGTTTCCTGGGAGCAGTGATGACAGTGATGTCTGTGGGCCAAGACCTCCAACAGTGCCTCTACTTACCCATCTACACCTAGGACTTAGATCCTTGCTCTCCCTCACTGAGTCTGATGAGAGCAATTACAGTATATATTTTACTTGATTAAACCTTGCTTGGGGAACTCAGAATAGTTCTCATGATAATCTTAACATCAAACTTGAATGTGCACATGAATCAGCTGGGGATGGGATTCAAGTACAGATTTTGGTTCCCTAATTCAGAAATAGGCTTGTGTCTCTTGTAAGCACCCAGTGATTTTGCTGGTTCAGACCCACATTGAGAAGTGTCTAAGGTAGCAATCTGCAAACAGACCCCCACAGAACACTTGTATTGGCGCTCCCTGTCCCCACCTGATTGTTTAAAGTGCAGATTGGAGTTGGGGTGTAGCTTGGGGGTGGAGTGTCTAACATGCACAAGGCCCTTGTTTCTGCAGTCAGCTCCATCCCCAACACTGCAAAAAAAAAGCATGAATGGTCATGCCTGTGATCTCCAACACCAGAGTTTCTACTGGTGGAACCCAGGAATTGGCTTTTTGACCTGGCACTTCGGGTGATTCTTAAGCACACTAAAGGTTTGGAGACTTTGGCTTTGGGAAAATGGATAGGGGGATTGTGTTAGTCAGCTTTCCTGTACTGTAATGAAATGCCTGTGATAAACAACTTATGAGTTTCCTCTGGGGCTGAGGACATAATTCAGTGGTGGAGCACGTGCCTAACACCCGTATGGCCCTAGGTTAGTTTCTCAGCACAGGAAAAAAAAAAAAAAAAGAAAGGAAAGGTTTACTATTTTCTTCTGGTTCAGTTTTTTAAGTTTCTGTTCACAGTCAGTCGAACACATTGCTTTTGGGCCAGTGGTAAGGCAGCACACCATGGAGGAAGTGCACCGTAGAGCGCAGCTGCTTACCTCATGGCTGCTGGGAAATGAAAGAGTGAGAGAGGAAGAGAGCAGAGCTCCACAGTCCTCTCCAAGGGCACATCACAATGGCCTAAATCCTTCCACTAGGCCCCACCTTCTGAAAGTTCCACTTTCTCCTAGCAGTGTCAAGCTGGGGACTAAACCAGGGAATTAGTCTTGTGGGGACTTAACCTATGGGCCCTTGAGAGACATGAAGGGAAAAGAAAAATCATTTAAGGAGACACAGTGAGTGGCACACAATGTGGGTTGTAGAACATAGGCCACTTATCTTGCATGCAGAAGACTGACCAAAAGTCTCCAGACTAGCTGGGTGACCTGGGGCAACACCTCTAAGCCTCAACTTCCTCTTTTATAAAGGGGAGACAATGTGATCTGATGATCTTTTCCTGTCCCTTGGTCTTGCCTTGTTTTCTGCAGTCATCCAGCATGCTGTGCCCACCCCATGCCAAGGTGCACTGACCATGAGCCTCAACTCCTCCCTTGGCCACAGGAAGGAGCTAAGCAACCTCACCGTGGAGGAGGGAGGTGAAGGGGGTGTGATCGTCACCGAGTTCATTGCCATTATCATCATCACCGTGTTTGTCTGCCTGGGAAACCTGGTCATCGTGGTTACCTTGTACAAGAAGTCCTACCTTCTCACCCTCAGCAACAAGTTTGTCTTCAGCCTGACCCTATCCAACTTCTTGCTGTCTGTGTTGGTGCTGCCATTTGTGGTGACTAGCTCCATCCGGAGGGAATGGATCTTCGGTGTGGTCTGGTGCAACTTCTCTGCCCTCCTCTACTTGCTGATCAGCTCGGCCAGCATGCTCACCCTCGGGGTCATTGCCATAGACCGGTAAGCTTGCCTCAGACTTAGAGAGTTGAAGGATTTCAGAATGGTGATTGCTGGTCCAGCCACTTGTACACTGTTAGTTCCTTGGAATAGGGCCAGCGGCCTCTTCTAGGGCAGGGTGAGCAAACTGAGTTCTGCCTTCTCTTCAATCTCCTTAACCAGAGCACCACTGGTTGTATTTGTCTAATTGCATATACAGTCACGTGCCACATAACGATGCTGCAATCAGTGACAGACTGCATAATTTGAAATTCTGTACCATATAGGTGTGTAGAAAGCTATACCACCTGTTTTCTTGTCAGTACACACTGATGCTTGCATAACAACAAAATCACCAAGTGACACATTTCTCAGAATGTATCCCTATTGTTAAGTGATGCTTGACTATAATTTAATTTTTTTAAAAGGAGGTTCCACTGCTTTAAAAAAAAGTTCTAGAAACCTTTGTTTCTCCTTTTACAGATGAAGAAACAGAGCTGAGGTAGGTGAGTAGGAACTGAGTCCTGGTCTTCTGACCCAACTGTTCTTTCAACCTTACAGGTGCCTACTGTGTCGTGCTGTGGTCTTGGTCCCAGCTCACTGGTGGAGCCCAGATAGGAAACCTATTCACTCTTCCACAGCCAGGGCTAGAAGGGGAGCAGGAAAAAGAAAACAATCCAGGGAACAGACAGTCACAACTGGGAGAGGCTGAGTGTGTTGTTACCACCCAGTTTGCTCCCAGTGGCACTGCAGATGTTCCTCAGCTATACCTGGTGGGTTCTTGAGACTCCTGTATTGTGCTGGCAGAGTTGGTTGTACAAAGCTCAGGGGCTTTGCAGTGAGTTCCCACCCTTCATTTAGGATTTTTTAGTAGGATTTTTCCAATGGTCACTTCATCCATCACAGGCAAAGGTTGGACTTCATGGAGACGGGGAGGGTAGATTCAAGGTCTGTGTGATTTCCCAGAAACTGGGGAGGAAGTTAGTGGTAGAGTCAAGGTAAAAGCAGAGGGGGCTGGCCAGGGATGTTGTGCCACAAGTCCCTAGGCTCTTAGGGGATCACCCGTTATTCAGGTGATGAGTGTAGTTGGACTGTTCATCCTGAGCACAGGCCTCCACTGGACTCAGAGCCAGAATCCTATTATCCCTCCATGGCTGTGTGAAGGATGTAGAATGAACAGAGATAAGGCCAAAATGAGTCAGTTAACTAAATGTCTGTTTTTTTCCAGTAATAAAAGCAATACAGAAAACATAAAGAATGAAAGAAGAGCTACTCAGAATCCAACCAATCTGGATCAATCACTGTTTATGTTTTCAGTGTATTTGCCTCTGGTAATTTTTGATTGTGTACATTGAATTTCTGAAATAGGCTCGTGGCACACATAGTTTTGTGCCTTATCATGTGATCACGGGCATTTCCTCCCATCTGGAGATATCTGGAGAACATGAGTTTTAATAGTTCTGTGGAATCCTATCCTGTGGATGGACTGTGACTTTTTTTTTTCAGTCCCCTGTTAGTGGAGTTAGGTGGTTTCACACAGCTCACTACTCTGAGAGCATGTCTGTTTGTGGAATTGCCATGTTTTCAGTAAGAGTAACTACACCTTCAAGATTCTTGGTGTAGAAAAGTCAAGTTGCCTTTCAGGAAGTTGTACAGATGTTTACTTCAGCAGCCGTGTTCAGTATCCTATCAGGATGGATTATGTAATACTGGAAAAAGATTTTTCGAAGCTCACTGACTGTGGGGAAGAATGGAATCTCCTTGTTTTACTTTCTATGCTAGTCAGACTTTTGTTGCTGTGACAAAATATTATATAGTTTGGCTCATGGTTCTAGAGGGTTCCATCCATAGTCCTTGGCTGTGTTTAGTTTACACTCATGGTGAGGCAGAGCATCATGATGGCGGGAGCATGTGTCAGAGGCTCACCTCATGGTGGACAGGAAGCAGAGAAAGAAAGGATTGGGCACTGGGTGTACCCTTCAAAGGCAGCCCCCAGTGATCTACTTCCTCCAGCTAAGCACTACCTCCTGGAGTTTCCACCACCTCCCAAATAGCACCCCCAGCTGGGGACCATACCTTCAGCAAATGGATCTGTGGGGTCATTATTCAAACCACAGCACTTTCTATTGTAAGAAATATTAACTTTTGAATATCCCTTCCTTGCGCCTTGGGTCCTGGGAACACAGAGTGAGGCTAAGAAGCTTAGTTGTAGAGATGGGGCATTGGGCTGTGGGAGTGGCTCAAGTGGTAGAGCACTTGCCTAGTAAACATGAGGCCCTGAGTTCAAACTCCAGTACCACCAAAAAAAGAAAAGACAAAGAAACCCCCAAAAACCCTAAAAGAGATGGGGCATTGGTCTTGAAGTGTCTCTGCAGGGCTGTCTCTAGCTGAATGCTTAGTAAATAGTGCCAGCTGTCTGCAGTGGAAGCTGTAGGAGGCTGTCAGTTCTGCCATTAAATCTGGGGTTTAGAGAGGTAAGAATGAGGTTTTTCACCAGCAAGTATGACAAACTCTCGAATCATGCCATCCAAATGTATCACCCACAGAGAGTTTATATTGCCCAGTGCCTTATTCTTTGATGTACTCTATGGGAGGTTCTGAATCTTGGGGTGGTAGTAGACAGGCATGAGTAGGATACAGACCCACCCAATAGCCACCCAACAGAGTAGCAGGTCAGTGACAGACACTGACCTGTGCCTGCTGATGTCAAAGCAAAGCAGAAATAACTGTCACAGACAGCTCCACCAATCACTGCTGCCAATGGATGGGGAAGTGAGGACATCAGGAAAAGATGGAGCTCAAGCCAGGCCCTAAATAGTGAGAAGGGTCTTGCAGGTATGTAACTCAGGACTTCGCAACCTCAGCTCTGTTGACTTTTGAGCCAGGTGACTCTTCACGGTGAGGTGCTGTCCTGTCACTGTGGGACATATGGCAGCTTCTAGCCTCAACTCACTAGGTGGTAGTGACATCTCTCTAGTTGTGATAGCACAGAGTGTCTCTAGACATTGCTACATATCCTCAGAGGGACACAATTATTCCCAACTGAGAATCCTAGTGGAAGCAAGCTGTCAGGACTGGTGGTGGCTCAATGCCTACCATGTACCAGTACCACAAAAAGGAAAGAAGGAAGGAAGGAAGATGTCAAACTTGTTGGACAGATGACCCCAAAGAATCTATCTTATAGCCCATAAAGAGAGAGCAAAGGCAGATTATAAAAAAACAGCTGGCTGGAGTGAAACTCACCATTTAACTGTCAGGTCCTAAACTAGCCAAGTGGAAATAGACAGCCTGGGCCATGGTTCCATGGGTGAAGTGTTTTACTGTGAATAATTCTGATACTACAGGCAAGTCTAAAATGTGTGGTCACCTCTAGCTTAGCTGGGAAGCTGGTAGGGTGCCAGAGCCATTTAAAATGTTTCTCATATTTTCATTCCACCCTGTGGTCGATGAAACTCCAGTTCCCAAAATAGAATATAATACATGCAAGTGCCTAAAACAATGGATTATGAGAAAAAGGATCACTCAGATTGTGCAGTGTTAAGTTAACCTGTTTACACAAGGTAGCTGGAGTTGGCATAGATTTGTTCATGTTTTCAGTGAAGACATCTTATAAAAACAGGATATATCAACATGGTTGGTATGTGGCAGGAGAGCTACACACCCCTTGATATGTCACACATGACAACCTGAGACTCTGTCTTTTGGGTCCAAGGGTCATGTGTGGGCTCGTGTGTAAAAATGAACAGTTAGTGGAAAGATCTAGAACCTCAGAAGACAGTTAAGAGAGGGCTGGGATGTGGCTTAGGTGGTAGAGTGCCTGTCTACAAGCAAGAGGCCCTGAGTTCAAACCCTAGTACTAACCCCCTCTCCCTGTAAAACAAAACAAAACAAACAACAACAACAAAAAAAACAGTTAAACACTCAGAAAGCAAAAGAAACCCCCTGTCTTTGGGAATGTCTTTTATGTTGATAGAGGGATAGATTTATACATGTCAACATGTGTACATTTAATCCTCCCCCTCCAAAAGAAATAAAAGCAATGTAACCCCTAGAGGCTGTGGCTGTACCTGTACCTGGGCAGGGCTGTGGCCTGTGGGGCTTTTCTGACTCTCAGAGACAGTCCTCAAGGTAGCCAGCACCTGGCTGCTGGCCTGGACCTTCCTGGGAACTCAGGAGGGAGAAAACACGGTCAGGTCCCCTGTAGTTGCCCAGACCCAAACTTGAGTCAGCAAGTAACACAAGTATCATTTCTTACAATAAAGGAAAACCTGTCCATAAGGTAATGGTATTAAGTGGATATTGAGAATAGCTCACAGATTCTGGCAGAACACATCTTATTAATTGTAATTATTCTTATGACTGCCAGAACAGGATTGGTCAAAGGGTCCAAGACAGTGAACATTTAGCACATCTGGCCTCCCACACCCACTCGTACACTCTCCGGAGGTCCTGAAGTCAGAGCACCTGCACGTCATTTAGAGAAAAAAAGTAGAAGTTTTGATTTTATGTCTTAAAATTTTTTTTCTTTCTTTTTGATAGTACTGGGGTTTGAACTCGGGGCCTTGTGCTAGTTAGGCAGGCACTCTACCACTTAAACCGTGCCCTCAACCCACTAGTCTGTTTTTGAGATAGAGTGTCACTAACTTTTTCCCCCGGATGTCCTCAAACTGGGATCCTTCCATTTCTGCCTCCTAAGTAGCTAGATTGCATATGTGTACGATCATGCCTGGCCTCACCTTGTGTCTTCTTAAATGAGAAGACCTTCCTAGAAGTACAACCCCCAACCCTTCCACTCAAGCAAATTTTCCTCACATTTCACTTACCAGGATGATGTCTTAGCTGGTCACTCCGTGAGGGTAGGAAGATCACTATAGTGGTTTGCGTCATCCTCCTGGGCTCAGAGGGGCCCGGTGTCCCATGGATCATGAAATTTTGCAGGAACATGAGCTCTGTGGGATTCCGTCCCTAAAGAGGAAGGAGACAGGTAGGTGGGCCAGCAGAGAACAGACTCTGCCTGACTACCATTTAAGGGGAGATACGATCCAGGCTTTTCACATGCTCTGCCCCAATCATTCCTAGAGGCAGACCTGAGACCTAGGTTCTACAATTCCCACTTCAGAAAAGGAACTGGAGCTCTGAGAGGTTAAATTAGCTACCCAAGGTCCCAGGTCGTAGGCAACAGGTGGACTCAGAATTTCCACCTCCGAAGTCATGCTTCTTCCACTGGACTTGCATGGCCTTTGTCAGATGCAAACTGAGACACCAGTGTGAGACAGTAATAACCTTATTCAGGCCACTGTGAAGTGACCCTGTCATCTGCACCACAATCACAGCAGGAGCTTCTTCTCAGCTCCATACCCCCAAATGCTCTTGGCCTGAGCTTGTGGCACAACACCTGAGCACTCCAGGCTTACCCTGGTTTGGAACACTGACTGGGGAGGCAGCCCATCCAGTCAGCTGTGGTACCCAAGGGTAGGTCAGGAAGGCCCTGGTGGAGGAGATAGCCTCACAGGGAATGTGTGAGGTGTAGCTACAGTCACTTTCCAGCATCCTGCCTGTACCAGTCAGCATCGTTGTGGTCACCCTTGTCCCACAGGCACCTTCATGGGAAGGTTCAATTCATGTAAGCAGTATTCCCTTGGGTAAGTCTGCGGGGGAGAGTGGTGGTTTACCTCCAACCCTATGCTCTAAGTCCTTCCACCAATAGATGAATGAAAAGAAAAAGTCCTTCCACCCTTTCCATTTCCAGGGTTGGCATTAGCCCATCCTATAAGGCTCTGCCCACCCTGCCCCTGCCCACCTGGTAGTTTCTCATCTCCCCTCTCCTCGTCCTCAGTGCTTCCGCCTGATTGCACTACGCACATTTCCCCTGTGGAACCATGCTCGCTCGAATGTCCATGCCCTGCTGAGGCCAGCCTTCCTCCTGGGATGGTTTCAGGCCAGTGCCCCAACCTTTCAGGACTCAGGTCTTGTGTTCTCTCCTCCAGAAAGCCCACTCTACCCCTTTGGTCTGGATCAAGGTCTGCCAGCTTGAACCAGTAGAATACTTGCCTACCTCCTCCGTAACAGGAGTGTGACTGGAAGCCACCCTCTGATCCATGGACTCTAGAACAAGATAGCTTGCAAGGAATTGCTGGGCCTGTGTGTGAGGGACCGTAGAGTTAGATAGCCTGCGGGTTGGTTGTTTTTTTTTTTTTAATCTCTTGCTTCCATATATCTGGGTAGGTTATTCGGCCTTTCTTTGCTTTAGTGTTTTTGTCTAAAAAATGAGCACGGCACACCTGCTGCTCACAGTTGTGAGCATTCAGCGGGGCCCCTTCCCACTCCTGACTCATGTGTTTGCCTTCCTCACATCGTCTCACCTGTGTTTCCAGGAGGTAGCACACAGCACACTTTCAGGAAATATCTGTTGAGTGAATGAACCCAGTAGTCCAAAGACATCACTTGGGTTCTTAATGACCTCTCTGAAAACTGCCCTAAAGAGATTAATGCCAGCAAGAGCAGAACTGAGCTGGCTTGACACATGATCTCTCGGGACCCCTGAAGAGGCCTCAGGGGCACCTGCACTGCCAGATAGGAGAGGTCTCTGGTGTGTCAACCTGGACATGGGACCATCTGAGTTCTGTGTCCTGGCTTGCATCCAACTGTTGTTCTATGCTGAAGAGCTGTGCAGCACGATAGCCTGCAACTCACTTGGGGAGGGCTGGAGAAGGTGCCTCTTAGAGATGGCTTTACTCTATGGAAGGGTTGGCTGGGAGAAGTGCAGGGCCCCTGAAGGAAAGCAGGGTACACTTCTTGATGTGTTCTCTCTTCCTTTTGACCCCTCTGTGTCCCCACCCCTATCCCTTTTCAGCTATTATGCTGTCCTATACCCGATGGTGTACCCCATGAAGATCACAGGGAATCGGGCTGTGATGGCGCTTGTCTACATCTGGCTTCACTCCCTCGTCGGCTGCCTGCCTCCCCTATTTGGTTGGTCTTCGGTGGAGTTTGACGAGTTCAAGTGGATGTGTGTGGCTGCCTGGCACCGAGAGCCTGGATACACTGCCTTCTGGCAGATCTGGTGCGCCTTGTTCCCCTTTCTGGTCATGCTGGTGTGCTATGGCTTCATCTTCCGTGTGGCCAGGGTCAAGGCACGCAAGGTGCACTGTGGCACGGTGGTCATTGTGGAGGAGGATGCACAGAGGAGTGGGAGGAAAAACTCAAGCACCTCCACCTCCTCTTCTGGCAGTAGGAGGAATGCCTTTCAGGGCGTGGTCTACTCAGCCAACCAGTGCAAAGCCCTCATTACCATCCTGGTGGTCCTTGGTGCTTTCATGGTCACCTGGGGCCCCTACATGGTTGTTATCACTTCTGAGGCACTCTGGGGGAAGAACTATGTATCCCCCACCCTGGAGACCTGGGCCACATGGCTGTCCTTCACGAGCGCTATCTGCCACCCCCTTATCTACGGACTCTGGAACAAGACAGTTCGCAAGGAACTCCTGGGCATGTGCTTTGGGGACCGGTATTACCGGGAACCCTTTGTGCAGCGACAGAGAACTTCCAGGCTCTTCAGCATTTCCAACAGGATCACAGGTAACTTGGGAACCTGTTAGGAAAGGGATGCCCACCCCAAGGCAGGTATAGTTTAAGGTCCTTCTCAGTTGTTCAGCCTATGGCCTCAAAATTCCAAGCAGAGAAGGAGGACAGCAGAGTTTCCTTGGTGATACCCAAATATCCTTCCAATACTCAGCAGCTCAAGGCTATGGTAAAGAGGGGGCCAGCATAGCTCCCTGACATACAAGGGACACTACAATTCAGAAATCCACTTTTTGAAACCTTAGCCAAACCCTTGGTCTCAAGTGTATAGTTACTTCTTTACTAGAGAAAAAAAAAGAGCCAAGCATTAGGCCAGGCTGCTTCTCCTCTTGGCAAATGTTTCCTTCAGTGTGCCCTTTCTTCAATGCCCCCTCCTTACTTTGGCTGCTCGTTCCAGTCTGTCTCCCTTCCTCTAGCACAGGCACCTTGCGCCTTCCTCCCAGGCCAGCAGTTTCCTCATATAGTCCCTGGTGAGGGGGTGTCATTGCCAAATAGTAGCCATCCATTGAAGTGTCACTATCATGTGACTGAGGCTGCTTATCAGCCTGAGAGCGGATCCAGAGTCAGCTCCACCACCTTTGACAAGACCCAGATATTTGCTCTAGTTAGGAGTTAGAATTTTTTCACCTTTTTATTTTAAAATAATTTTAGAATCATAGAAGAGTTTAAAAAACAGCACAGAGAGTTTCCTTTAGTGTCCAGCACAAGATCAAACCCAGGATCTCAAGCATACTAGGCAAGTGCTGTGCCAGTGGGGAGAGCCCTACATTGACACTTTTATAGAGCATTGGTCAAGCCTTTTCTAGTGTGCTCCTTGATTTGTCTTTATCTGTTTTCTCACAATTAAAATGAGGTTCTACTAATTTGGCAAGAATGCTGCAGGGCTAATGGGCTCAGTGCATCAGATCAGGGGCACTTATGTCAATATGAGTTAGGTGACCCTTGACCTCCTAGTTCAGGTGTCCTCTGCCAGCTTTCCCCACTATAAAGTCACCATCATTTCCATTGTAGTTAATACAACAGAGGAGCTACCCTGAGACTGTGCAAGTATTCTGTTCCTCCTCCAGCCTTCATGCACTGTTTTGAGCATGCAGTGGTGGACGACCCTAGCAGTTATGGCTGTGTTGTTCTGAGATGAGGTATCTAGAATTTTAGGGAGACCCTCACCCAGTCAAGCCATTGGAAGGTTTTAAGGGCACCTCATTCAGATTGCAGTTCTGACCTCTTGCAATATGACTTTGGGCATCTCATCAAACCATGTAGTTAATTTCCCTCTTCATGGCAAAGAGAGTTCCTTCACCTTCCTTAGAAGACATTATGACCCCTGGTTACTTTGAGCACTCATTGGCAGAGATGACGGGAGATTCTTTCCATCTGGTGATGAGGCACACCAGTTGTACTGATCTATTTCGTAGATTAATGGAGTTATTTCTGAAAAAAAGGAAGTCTGGGACTTTTTATTTTGACTGTATCCAAATGTTTCCATATCCCAGTATTTAAAAGACTGAAGTGCCCACCCCCTGCCACTTGCAAGTATGACTCGTGAGCCAAGAGGTATATTCAATGTTTGGCTTCATTTCACTGGTTAGCTTATTTGTTCAGATTTTGTAAAAATCACTTGTCTTCTAGGCAAAAAAATAATATTTTCTATTCCAGTGACATTAAGAATGAGGAAGAAAAAAAATGGAGAGACTTAAGGAGGAGAGGATAGATAGAACAAAAAGAAACATCTGTCTGGGGGCCAAGATTTTCCATGCAAGTCACTTGTGATTGTCCTGGAAGAGTTCGTGAGCTGTAAGAGCAAGTGGAAGACACCAGCTGTGGTTAGATTGGCAAGTCTAAGGCTGCTGGCAGTCCTTATTTAGAAAAACAGTCTTGTGGGATGCTTTTGGGTTGAACAGCTTGTGGGATGATGGGTTCTGAGTCTGTGGTTTCTCCAGGGATGGGAGCTGAGGAGTCTGATCCTAGGAGGCCAGAGGCATCAATGTGAATCTGGGTATCAAGGCAGAATGTGTGGCCCCATCCCAACTCCACACCCTGGGCCATCCAGGCCAGGAACTACCTTCCTGATAGAGAGAGTGAACTGTGGTTTCCACCACATGTCCCTGGTCCTTCTGTCTCAGCTAGAGCTGAACAGACCCTGTTGAATGCCCTGTGAGCAGATCTTCTGCTTGAGAGGTCTCATTAGCTGAACCCTACAGGGTGGGTTCACCCAGGATCTGAAATCGATGGGCTACCAAGAGGTGACCAGGCAGTGCCACCTCATGGTGAATAGGTCAGCCCTGGAGTGGACATTGTATTGTAGTGCTGAAAGGTAAGCTAAATGCTAATTTGGTCTTAGGATACTAAACTACAAGTCTAAAGTTGACACAGGCTCCTGGCAATCAGTGGAAAGAAGAGAACTCAGGAGAAAGGGCAAACAGCCTTCCACAGCCTTTCCACTAGAGGATATGCTGGTGCACCCCAGGCTGGAGGGCTCAAGGATGACCTCTTCCCCCAGTCAGGTGGCCTGCACCTGGGGAAGCAGCCTAACCAGATGCCCCTGTCACCTGGAGCCTTAAATGGGGCAGGGCCTCTTTAGTTATCTCCTGGGAAGAGGACGCAGTCTCTCGTTTACTTTGGAAAGTGCCTTAAATCATGTCCTTTTGAGAGGTCAGGGCCAGAGGGAGGAAAGGGCAACCTGGGAACTTTTGAATGTCCCTCCCTTGCTTTTCTAAGTACCTTTCCGGATGGCACTTCGAGGTCTTCTGGTGATTGTAGGATCTTCACCTCAGAATCCCTTCCCCTGTTGTGTTAGCTCCTAAAAGGCACTAGTGGTTTTTGCCTGCCCCACGTTCCTCCACAGCAGCAAACTTGATCTCTGGGGCCTGACTCTCTCCCTTCCTCTCTCTCCCTCCCTCTCTCTCTCCCTCTCTCTCTC